AGTGTGTGTGTGTGTGTGTGTGTGTGTGTGTGTGTGTGTGTGTGTGTGTGTGTGTGTGTGTGTGTGTGTGTGTGTGTGTGTGTGTGTGTGTGTGTGTTAGCAACAATAGTGTTACCACAACTACTGTTGTTGCTGCTAGTATTACCAACATAAACAGACCCGCCTTCGCACTCACCATAGTCACGGGAACACGCAGCCGAAGATGCCCCTTGGGTATGACTAATCCTCCGCACTGTGCCTCACCGAGGGCGAAGATCCTGTTTGCTCTTCACCGGCGATTTCTGACAGTCACGAAGTTGAAAGTAATACAAACAGCAATTCTTCTTCCAATACCTATGATACATCATTATAAATAGCAATCTGAAGTTTCACCTCCGTACATCTTCCTCCCTCTTTCTCTCTTTCTCTTCCTCCCTTTATTTTTCTTTCATTCTCTTCCTCCCTCTCTCTTTTCCTCCTTTTATTTTTCTCCCATTCTCTTCGTCCCTCTCTCTTTCTCTTCCTCCCTTTATTTTCCTTCCATTCTCTTCGTCCCTCTCTCTTTCTCTTCCTCCCTTTATTTTCCTTCCATTCTCTTCGTCCCTCTCTCTTCCTCTATTTCTCTTCTTCATTTTATTTTTCTTTCATTCTCTTCGTCCCTCCCTCTTTCTCTCTTTCTCTTCCTCCCTTTATTTTCCTTCCATTCTCTTCGTCCCTCTCTCTTTCTCTCTTTCTCTTCCTCCCTTTATTTTCCTTCCATTCTCTTCCGTCCCTCCGTCTTTCTCTCTTTCTCTTCCTCCCTTTATTTTCCTTCCATTCCCTTCGTCTTTCCCTCTTTCTCTCTTTCTCTTCCTCCCTTTATTTTCCTTCCATTCTCTTCGTCTTTCCCTCTTTCCCTCTTTCTCTCTTTTCCTTTATCCCTTTATCTTATTTTCATTCTCGACGTACTTCTCTCTTTCTCTATTTTTCTTCTTCATTTTATTTTTCTTCCATTTTCTTCCATTTTCCTCCTTTTATTTTTCTCCCATTCTCTTCGTCCCTCTCTCTTTCTCTCTTTCTCTTCTTCCTTTTATTTTTCTTCCATTCTCTTCGTCCCTCCCTCTTTCTCTCTTTCTCTTCTTCCTTTTATTTTTCTTCCATTCTCTTCGTGCCTCCCTCTTTCTCTCTTTCTCTTCCTTTTATTTTCCTTCCATTCTCGACGTACCTATCTCTCTCTCCATTCTCTTCACTCCCTTCCTTTTCCTTCTCCTCATCTTCGTTCCTCATTCTTTCTCTCTAGGTCAAAACTATTTCTCTCATTTCTCTTTCCGCTTTTTATTTTCTTTCTTTCCATCATCTTCGTCGCTCCACCTTTCTCTGCATTCCCTTCCCTCCCTTCTTTTTCCTTACTTCTTTCTATTTGTTATTTCCTCTTTCTCTCCACTTCCCTTCCTTCCTTTCCCTTTCTTCGTCCTCTTCGTCCCTCCCACTTTCTCTCTTTTCTCTTCCCTCCCTTTCCTTTCCTTCCTTCCATCACCTTCGTCCCTCCCTAATTCTCTCCTTTCCCCTCTCCCTCCTTCTCGTTCCCCTCCACCTTCCTCTTCGTCCCTACCTCTTTCTCTTTCTCTTCTTTCCATCCCCCCCCCCCCCCCGGCTCCCGTCTCTTCTCGTTGTGTTTACTTTGGCATTGTTCATAGTGTTAAAATCTAATCCATTTTCATCAAGCGTTAAGGTGAATGTGCATTATAGTCAGCATAGCGGTGGCATAGCTCAGTGGTAGAGCGCTGGCTTTGTTATCTCAGGCTCCTGGGTTCGCGCCCAGCCGCCGCCCCTCTCAGTCGACTCAGCACTGTATGCTGACGTCAGGATGCTGGGGTCAATGTCGGGGCGGAAAGGGACTGGCCACCTTACCGCATCGTCCCGCGGCTTTGTAAGCTTATTTCTCTACGAACATGTCACCTACGTCCACTTGGATATGGGACCAACTTTTGACATTCAGCATATGCAAAATACCCGTGTCTCTCTAATGTGCTGACCTGATATGTTGACCTTTTGTAAAGAGTGGTTTAGCCACGCAACTTGAAAATAAAGTTTAATTTTCGGCTGGGCGTCTCGCGGGAGAGCACCCCCTCTTTCCTCCAATGGACAAGTTGCATGACACAAAGAGTAAATTAGAAAAGAAGGCGGAAAAGCATGTAAAAAGCGAAATGAAAGAAGAGGAACATGAAGACTAGGGAGAAGGAGAAAGAAGAAGAAATGAAGTAGGAAAAAAAAAAGAAAAATGAATACGAAGGCCAAAGTAAAAAATCCTGTTCATGGTCCTTGCTATGAAGTACCATCTCTTTGCCAAACCCTTAGCGTTTCGGGAATCCCCACAGAAAGGACCCGGCGACCGTGACCTTCAAGTAGCGAGTCTTAGAACAGCGGAAATCCCTCCCTCTCACAGCAAGTACTGGGGGAGGTGGATGACCTATTTCGCTATATGTATGCCCCGAAAGGAAAGGTGAGAATAACGAATGCCGGCTCTTGCGATGCCTGTAGT